TGTCAAAGAGTTCAATGTCAATGAGAACCAGCTGCAGCTGTACCAGGAGAAGTGCAACCGAAGGTAGGTTGGCCTCCATCACGTGCTGCTGCTCATGGGGCAAAACTTCAGGAAAGTCCTCTACCCACTCTTGCTTTCTTTGGTACCTTTGATTCTGGTTTTCTTTGCCCTAAATGAACTTAAAGTAACACCTTGAGCACCTTCTACTCCCTAAGTAGAACCATCTTCTATCTTACAAGGACTTTTCAATGTAACAGTGAAAATAGATGGCCATTTTGCTGTTCTTAAGCTAGAGATAGAACCCAGGTCCTCATGCATGCTAGGCAACTGTTCTACCACTGCTATACCAGAGCTCCAATGAACACTGATTTTTTTTGTTCTTGTTCTTGTTTTTTTTGAGACAGGGTCTCACTATGTGGTTCACTCTGGCCTTGAGCTCACTTTGTAGCCCAGGCTGGCCTCAAACTGCAATGATCCTCCTGCCTCAGCCTCCCGAGGGCTAGGATTGCAGGCCTGTGCCACCACACCCGGGTGAATTTCAGGGTCTTGACAGGAGCTCAGAGTGGCCCTTCCAACTCCCATCCCCAAGCCATCCAGGCATAAATGACCCCAAGTGTTCCAGGGTTCTGCACAGAGCCTGTATCATCTGCCCCGCTGGTGATGCTGAGATCGGTTTCATTCCAGGTTGCGAGAGAAAAGAGTCAGCAACAGCAAGTTCTACTCATAGAAGCCGGTGTACATGTGTAAGTGTGTGGTGTGTGCATGTGGAGGACGGTGCTCTGTTCCATCCCATGTAAGAGACTACTGTGTGGCATCATCCTCTCTCCAGGCTGCCATCAACATGACATTTGTGGAGAAGACCCAACGGGCACAAGTCGGGTTAAGTTCCTGCTAGTGTTTTTCACTTTGGACAGTTTCTTAACTTAAATTCTTTATAGAGGATCCAAAAATGAGCTCTCGTTTTGGCCTTTCATGTTCCAACCCTCACTAAATAAAAGCAACAGAAATCTCAATCAGTTAAGCTTTTATGCATGACTTATATGGTGAATAGGATATTTTTGTCCTGCTGAACAAGATTCTGCTAATGGCCCAAGATTCTGTAATTGACTTCTACAGAAGATGAGCTGGGAGTGTAAGGAACTAATTCATTCAGTTCTGAAAAAGGATTTTAACTAAACGGCAAATGATTCCAAAAATAAGGCCATTGGATTCCACAAGGGTCCAAAGAGAAGATGCGCCCAGGCAGGGAGCTCAATTTGGTATGTGTTAAGTACCACTGGTTGCCTGGCTGGCTGGACAGACCTCCTGCACGGACCTGCTGGAGTCCACGATAAATGGTTCAGTGATGGGATCTGATCAGTAGGACAATTGCTGATCACTGTGACAGGCTTGCTCTGTGACTGGCATTATTGGGGGTGGTGTAGAGATCTTGGGATCTCTGTTTTAAAAACCAGTCAGAGACCAGAGACTGCTGGAGGCCAACTCCTAGCCCTTGCTCTTTACGTGGAAGGCTCTGGATTCACTCTCCATCCCCAGTGCCCCACTGAGTGGCTGGGAGACTGCTGGGAAAGCCCTGGGGTCCACAGACAAGAGGTTTAATGGGTAGATGCAAGGTGTATGAAGGAAACTCTCTGGGCTATGCAATGCTGTGGAGCAAGGAGTGAAGCTTTAATAGCTCAGGAGAGTAACGGCAAACCTTTTAGACACTGAGTGCCCAAACTGCAACCCCCAAACCCACTTATTTATTGCAAAGTACCTATACTGAAATTAAAACTGAATACTGAAGTTTTAGTTTACAAAAAATAACTCAGACATTAGCAATTTTTTCTTAAAAGAACACAGTAATAGAGTTATCAGTGATACAAACAGCCTTTTATTGAAAAGTAAAAGTTTGCATTTGGCTTGCCTTTTCACAATTAAGTGTGATCTTTGCTGCTGTATGCATGCTGATAATTTGTCAAACTGTGGCTCGTACAAATTGATACCTTGGTTCACAAACTTCATTCTTTC